AAATGGCATAGCAAAAGCTACTCTTCAGCAACAATAACGCCGATCTGACCTTGAAAGCAAATGCTATCACTCATGTCCAAGGAAACATATTAAAACAATCAAATAAAGAGCAAACGCTTAGAATAGTACTACAAACAGCATATTTAGAGTCAGGTATATTTCTCAAAGCATAGCAATAATAAACAGCATCTTGTTATGCTATCTAATTGTCCAAGTATACTTTCTTTTTAAGTTGATAATAGTAACCAAATGATATGGGGGTTCATTTGCTGTAAGAGTAAGTTGTCTTATGTATGGTCTTTAGATTGAGCATAACCTCCATTCTTGAAAAATAACCCCACCTAGTGTTGAAGGCGCTCGTCTGACATATCTTTGAATAAGAAGTAAGAATCGTATAAATCTCACCTATGTAGGATTGGTGTGGTTCACATGAAAGAATAGTCACAATTCCCAAGCTAACCCTCTAATCATCCATGAATGGTATATATTGACCAATTTCATAGAATGATCTGATAGAATCTTTACTCTCGGATAATGGTCTAACGACAGATAGAAGTCAACTCGGCATACAAAAGGAAAAGCAAAAGGAATCCACAGGTGACCAACAAAAATAAGGCTTGTTAAAACGTATTAAAACATATTAATGTAATAAGAGACTTTCCATTGCCAAGGAGGATGAGCTTCAATTAGTGTTCGCAGCTTGTTTAGTTTTAACTAGACCAACCTTTCCTTGATAATGTAGAAAAAGACCGAAAGGCAAAGAATAAGATGTTCATGCTGCACAGAAAATACCAGTTGGCCCAACTGACAAAACAAAAGGATAAGGAAAAATGCAATGCAAGAAAACCAATTCTGTCAGCTCCGCATACAAAAAGAAAAGCAAAAGGAATCCAAATAAATGGCATGCAATGATCAACTCACTTAATCGGGGGGCACCAAATATGGAAAATTAAGAATACTTAGCTAAATTCAGATGAACGCTCCACATGTTTCTCTCTAGCTGTACCTCTTTTGGGTTTTCAGTTTTTTTGGTAACAAAACTTTATCGATTACAGTTTCTAGATGGATTGTGGAGAATTATGAAAAAATAGAGAAACGAAATTAATAGATGCCTATTAAAAAAAATTTGTCGATGTTGTTGTTGAATGTATAAAAAATCACATTAAACCATAAAAGATAGTTAATGCCAACATCGATCCTTCTAAATTATTTTTACCTTGAGCAAAGGCCACCTACTCTATGGTCATTAATAGATGCCTATTAAAAAAAATTTGTCGATGTTGTTGTTGAATGTATAAAAAATCACATTAAACCATAAAAGATAGTTAATGCCAACATCGATCCTTCTAAATTATTTTTACCTTGAGCAAAGGCCACAGAGACTGACAGACAGAATATAAATTAGCTAGAACTTCCCAAAATCTGAACATATATTTGACTCTCTACATCAGTAACAAAATTGTTACACAGAGATACTGCAACGAGTTGATTTGTGTGCACTCTCAAATATTGTACATGAACTTGAATAGGTGTTGTAGTTTGAATAGCTCATTGTTGAATTTGAATAGGAAATCTTTTAAATCCTTCTTTCAAGTTCAAAGGACCCAGTCTCTATGAGTTGATTTGAGGACTTAAATCACATTGCTCAAGTATCTAATCGCATCAAGGGTTTGTCACACACTTTGGATATAAAGGTATTGTATTTTACAGAAGCTCATAAATAATCACCATTTCACCAAGCCCATCGAATCCATATTATCAATTACAATTATTATCAACAGTGAAAACCACTTAACAACCACAATTAGCTGAGTTGCCTTGCACATTTTGACAGTGAGTGTTGGGTTATATAACACCTTTCAAAAATGACCTCAAAACCAAAAGAAGAAGATTTCATCAGACTTTTCAGCTAAGAACTTTGTTCAGAGCAAAACATCTATATGTCTATTTTCCGTCCTTATTTGTGGCTCTTGGTAACAACTTCTTCAGTGACTATGCAGATTACTACGACCCAAGTGTTAACAAAGCTTCTCCTAATAACATATGATTACTAAAAATAATTTAGAATGCTCATCGCAAATAGAACCATTAGGGTTGTGGTCAAAATTGAGGTTATTTTCCTTCCAATAAGAAAAATGTTAAAATAATCCCGAAAATCTACCCACATTCATCATATTACTACATTCTCTCTATTTTCTGATAACTGAATTTAATTATCTTAAATGCATCAAATGGACGGACAATTTCTTTCAAGAGATTTAACCCCAAAATGATAAAAAAACACACAAAAATTCAAACAGAAAAGAGTAATCACCTGAAGGATTGATGTCTAGAAATGCGACGACGAAATCGTCATGAACTACATTTATAAGGGGAAAAAATCCGACGCTCGCCGACTAGAGAATTGTGGGCTAAAAGAAAAATTAGAAAAGTAGAAAAGGGGAAAATGGAGAATAAGAGAAGGAGAGGGTTAAAAAAAATTACAGCGGGCTCGACGCTCGCCGTCTTCCTCGTCTCTCTCCTCGGCAAGCTCTTCTCCGCCACCGACGACGATGATGACGGAGATCGCAGACCGTCGCCGACGACAATTTTGACGGAGATCGCAGAGCGTCGACTGAGATCGCCGATGAGAAACGAGGTAACTATTCTCTCCGTTTGTTGCTCGTCGTCGCTCTTCGATCGACTCCACTTGTTCACCGTCACTCGTCGTCACCTCTCTCCAATCGCCGCCGCTCTCCGCCGCTTGAGCTTAGTGATGGAAAATCTAGGGCTTCTCTCCTTTTTTTTTCTCTCTGCATCGCGTTTATGAAGAATGAGAGACGAAGGATTATCGGGTCTGCCAGCGGTTCACTTGGGTAAATTCGGGTTAGACGAAGGGTTAGACGGGTCAATCGGGTCAACCCACCTAATAAATGGGTAAATTCGGGTTGACCCATTTATGACCCGACCCACATAACTTGACCCATACCCAATATAAATGGGTCGGGTCGGGTCGGGTTGATGGGTCGGGTCATAAATTGCCACCCCTAGTGACATGCATAGCTTATAATATTGTCCATATAATAATTTGTGTTTATTTCAGACATTGGGATTATATGGGTCAACCCGGTTATGACTTATACCCATATGTAGGAGTGCAAAACTTATATCCCGACTGACCGCAATTATATCTATTTAGAAAACGGATATGATAGGAAAATTTTGTAACCAACCGGATATGGTTTTGGCTCTGGTTATGGTTTTGATTTTTCATCCGGATATGATTCCGAATACGCCTTTCGGATCAAAATTGCTGATACGGCTTGGATATCCGGATGTTTAAAATGTTTTAAGCAATTAAGTTGTTAATACTTAAATTAGGTCGAGTTTATAACATATGCTCATGTTATTCGCAACCCAATCCGAATTCAATCCAATCTAAAAAGTCCAAAGAGCAAAAAAAAAATTCACTTTTCACGATCTCATTTCCTGCCCTATTCAGTTACTCATCCAGATTCGTCCTCCACCTCCATCTTCAAGTTCCTCCGCCGCCGCCTCCAAGGCCCTCCGCCTTCAAGCCTTAGCCTCGACTTCAAGCCTCGTCCTCTACGCCCTCACGTTCTTTGTTTGATGATCTCAAGAAATTTGCCTCATCCTCTTCTTCATCGATGACCATCAACGCCGAGTTCCTCTTCTTCTCTGAAGATTCTCCTCCTTAATTTCGTTTATCGCTAAGGTGAACTCAAAACCTTAACTTGTTGATTGAAATGCCCTAATTTTTTGTTTGATAAAGTTCTAATTTCTAGCCCTTTGTTAACTGAAATGAAATAGCCCTAGTTTGTTTGATAAAAATCTCTAATTTATTAGCTCTAATTGTTTTCAATTGCTTTTTTTATGATTGTAATTTGTATCATTATAATTTTTTGTTTGATTAAGTTTATAAATTTTATTGAATAGATATTATAATCATGTCTAATCCATCAGTTCAAGCTTCTAACGAAGAACCCACAGTCGAACCCCCAGTTGAACTGGACATTGAACCCACGGTAGAAGAGTCTTCTACTAAAATAGAAGAAAACCCTAAGAAAAAGAGGGGAATTAACTTTTGATGTATGGTTAGACTTTGACAAAATTAATAAAGTTGAAAAGAAAATTGTCAACAGAAAAGAGGTTGAAATAAAAACCAAGATAGCGAAATATAAACATTGCTTGTTTGAATGTGAATGACGTAGTTCTAGGGATACTACACACATTACAAATCACATTGTGAAGTGCTCAAAAACGAAGAGACCCGATATTCGTCAACAATTGGTTCAAGCTACAATAAAAAATATAGAAGGGACTTGTACACTTAGTAATTATCATTTTGACAACGAGAAGAGTCAAACTTTACTTGCAAAAGCTATTATTGTTCATGAGTATCCATTTAACTTACACATGACTTCTTTTTACAATATGTGCATTCTCTTCGTCCAAATCACATTGTTTCAAATCATGCACAAATCACAAAGTTGTGCATGAAAGTTTATGGTGACTATAGAAAATATTTATATGATTTGTTTGCCATATCTTCCATAAGGTTGAGCTTGACAATGGATAAATGAACATCATCTTCACAAAATTTGGTATATTTATGCACTATCGCTCACTATGTTGATGAATATTGAAAACTTCAAATATGTATAATTGGTTTTAGTAAAGTCCATAGCTCTACCACGAAGAATATATGCAATGTGTTAATTGCTCGTTTACTTGATTGGAAGAATTGATAATAAAGTTTTGTCAATTACTATAGATAATGATAAGTCTAATGATGTTGCGTTAAATTGGGAAAGAACGTCTTAAGAAGTATCTACCTTGTGGTGGAGTCTTTTTTCATGTGAGATGTAAAACACATATTATAAATCTCATTGTTCAAGAGAGGATTAAAATTATCACTCAAGCTATTGAAAAAGCAAGACGTAGTGTTAAATATGTCACATGTCCATCGAAGATGGAAGAGAATTTTTATCATGTTGCAAAGCAAGTTGATGTGGTTGGAGAAAAATGCTTAGCCCTTGATTGTTGCACAACATATAATTCTACTTATTTTACATTGATGAATGTTTTAAAGTACAAAGTTGTTTTTAATAGATTTGAACTTAACGATGATAAATACATTCATTGTCCTTCAGAGGAAAAATAGAATTATGTTGAAACTTTGAGTAAATGTTTGAAACACTTTTATGATGCAACTAATCTCTTTTTCGATAGTATGTATCCCACTTACAATCTTTTATTTGAAGAATTTTGTGAAATTCAATCATTTCTAACGGAATGGTTGAAAAGTAATGATGATACAATTGTGTCTATGGCTTTTGTAATGAAAAGAAAGTTTGATAAATATTGGAGCATGTGCAATAAGATTTTGCGGTGGCTATTTTTCTTGATCTGAGATACAAAATGATTGCAATATAATATTACTTTAAAGAGATTTATGGTGTAGATGCCGAAATGTGTGCACTTGAAGTTTTAGATGTCATTAAAAATGTATGGGAAATATGCATCTCTTGAAAAAAAAGAATAAAAAATAATGAAAACGCTTCAAGCTCGCAAATAAAAGAAGTGGAAAGAGTTTGTGATAAAAAAAATCTAGATTCGTATAATTTGTTGAAACTATTGAGAAGGAGCCTACAAAGATGGATTTGGATTCATATACAGAAGAGAGTATTGTTCGATGCGATGATGACACAACAGAGAAATTTGATATATTTGATTGGTGGAAATCAAGTAGTGGAAAGTATCATATACTAGTAAAAGTTGTAAAATATGTTTTGGGTATACCGGCCTTAACCTTGGCTTCTGAATCGGCTTTTAGCACCGGGGCCGTGTGATTCATTGTTATAGAAGTCAAATAACAACGGAGTCGTTGGAGGGTTTGATATATGCGCAAGATTGGATTAGAGTGGAAAAAAGGAGGTAAATTTATAAATTTTATATAGATTTCATTATGTTCAGTTAATTGTACATTAAAGGGTTTTATGTTTTATTCTTTTTCTTTTTCCTCTTTTTTTTTGTAGTTACTCAAGTGCAGACTATGAAGGGTGATGCTCTTGATGTTGTTTCTCTTTCGGATGTCGATGACTCGAAGATTGTCGAGACTTTTATAAAATCACCTATATGTATGTTATTTAACTTCATAAGCACATTATTTGAAATTTGTACTTTTCACATACTTGACATGACAATTGCTCTTTTCATTATTTTAGAGATGACGTTGTGGAGGTCCACGACTGGGATGATGAGATTTAATCTCTCTTACATTATTGGGTCTCATCTTTTGGTTTATATTGTGTTTTCAAGAACATGGTTATCTTAGTTTAGAAGTTTTTATGTTTTCTTTGCTTAGGGAACTACGTTATAGAAGTTGTGGGTTTTTAATTTACTGTATGTGACTTTGCTCATGTCTTAGTTTGTAGTGACTTTGTTTATGAATTTGTGACATGTTGTTTCTAGATTTGTCTATTATTTCCGGATTATGACTTTTATAGTTTTGGTTATTTATTTATAAGCGTTGGGATATCTTCTTATCAGTCTTGCTATATACTCAATACTCCAAGAGTATCTTTCTTATTCTTGAGATGTATATATACACTGGTTTTGTGATATAGAAATGTTTCTATTAATTTTATGTTCTATTCCAGGTACAGTATAGATAATGTGTGATATGGACCTCAACTTAGGATTCACAGCACATATCCAAGTGAAAGAACTCATAGAATTAGGATAAAGTGCAAGCATATTGGGTTAGTTTATGCAAAGATGCACACCAACACTCGGGTACTTGTATTAAAGATAAGTGTTTGAAGAGTTCATAGCAATTTGTTTTGTTAAGATTGGTTCACATGAGGACTAGTATTTACGTCTATGAGGTGACAATTTGTTTATGCTTGAATAAACTTATCTTGATTATGTTCATAGATGAATGTTTTTTTTACTCATATTTAGTTTGCGAAATATTCTAATTACATTTTTTTTTGTCATATCTGATTCATATCCGTTTCCAAAATATCCGATTAATATCCATATCATATCCACTTCTCTAATATCCAAACTATTTCAGTTTCTGTTTAGTGCCGATATGGTGATGCATTTTTCTTACCAATGAATATTTGTATCCGTATTCGAATTAGATAGCGGATATGAATATATTTTATATTAAGTGTCTTATCCAAATCGTATATGAATTGAATGCACCCCTACCCATATGTCTACATGTCAACCTGTTCCCATTAGTAACAGGTCAGAATTTGCCACCCCTAACAGGCAATCCTATGATCTATCAACTATAATCACATGAATGAAACAGGAGTCCAAACGACAAGCAACACTCAAGGTTACAGTGTAGTCACAATAATTATCTCAACTTCCCGCTCAGATATCAACTCTAAAGTCACCCGTCAGTGCCGTCACCCGCACGATTACACCAGCATCAAGGTACCGACATGCAATAATCCTACCAAAGTAAAATGGGAAGACCAACTAAAGCTACAATTAAACAATGAAAATTCTGCTTCAAAACTAAGCATTTTATGAACTACCTAAAATAAAAAATATAGATATATAATCTACACGTAAAATTGAATAAAAATTATACAGTAACTATCCAAAATAAAAAATTTAGATATATAAAGCTACACGTAAATTGAATATCCATCTTTGATTTGAAAACTTTCACTCTGATTCCTGATAAGTGAAAAACGTTTCATGCGAGAGAAAAAATAAACTGTTACCCAGAATTATTGATATCCACCAAATATATGAACAATTTTGTAAATCCATGTTGATTGGATTGTCTCCCTCAGATTAAGTTCTATTGAAATCATTTACAGAGTCATCACTTCACAAGAAAGAGCACATCAGACAACAAGAGCAAATAATTAAAGATAATCCTACTTTAAAATAGACGCTTCTCTGGCACCGAATGCAACTTATAGTCTGAGTATACATAAAACACAGCAGAAACAAAATAAGAACCACCAATTCTTTTTAGATACAGGAAACACAATTATTTCACTGAATCCAGACACCAAACTTCTCTAAATTAAAAACCAAAATAACCTACTAATGATAAACTAGAGGAAATTAAAGACTAGCACAAGTTTGTCACACAGAATACCACTAACTACTCACTTTCCACCAAGAGTAGGGAACTGGCCTGGGTCTTCAATTGCAGGAGCAGCTGGGGTCCTCTGCCGCCACGATCACCGCGTCCTCTGCCTCGGCCACGGCCACCTGAGTTGTATCTTTCTCCTTCAGCTGGCTTCAGAAATTCATTGATGCTCAAATGCTGGAAAAGCACAAGTCCTCAGGAATATATAATGAAATGATAAAGAGTAATGCAAATCAGAGTTAAAATGTATTGTCCAACTCGTTATTTCGAGACAAGTAGTAAAGCTTAAGCACTATGCAGTATTCTGAAATGGCGCCAGATATGCTGCAATACTATGCTATTTTAAAGTGATGTACGCTAATTCAAAACAATGTATGTAATTTACATAAGACGTGTTAGATATTTCAAATGGTTTTTGTTGTATTGGACACCAACTTTTTACTAATTCTATATTCTGTGGTAATTGTAGAGGGACCATTTACTCTACTTCCTGCCATCCGTTCAAATTTGAAGGGATGAGGTACAAGCACGTAAGATCTCCATTATCACAATAATGGTTTTCACAATAGTGGCTTACAAAACAATAGTAGTATATAAAAGTGAAAAATCTTCGGCAATTTTATCTTTCCTCTTGAAACTTGAATCAACCCTTCAAATTATGTAGCGACTTGAACCTCCATTTACCAATTAATTGGAGAGGATCCAGATCCCTATATATATATCTACATACATCTGACATGGCGGTCTTATTAGGGCCAGTTTGGTATTATTTTTTAGTTTATATACCATGTTAACAATGATCATAAAGCACATTTTTACCAAATAGGAATTTTTTTGAGATATAAACTAAAAAAAATGCCTGTTTTTTAAGCAACTTTTGATATTTGATTACCAAACAGGCATTTTTCGGAGCTTATATAAGTTGCTTCTATAAGCTACTTTTATAAGCTCCAGCAATACCAAACTGGCCCTCAGGTCTTATTTAAAACAAGTGAATAAATTTCTTATTAAAACCTAAAGGATTTGAGGGTTCAGTTTAGAAATATGAAGATTTTGGAGGGTCACATATAGAATTAACGACTTGGGATTCAAATATAACAAAACTCTTCAATATAGCATATGCTTGTGACATCACATCAATACAAATTATATTAGAGTCGAGAATATTTTCTTCCTCTTATTTGTATTATGACTTGAAGCAGTAAAAAGTATATGCTTTTGGATTGTTTGTTATGTTGTTGTGGCTTCTATTGTGTGGCAATTCATATCTTGTAACATTAGTATCTTTATAATAGTGAACTTATAGCTTGTGGCGAATGATGTACACGTGCTGCACGGGATATAAAAATCAGTAATGCATTCCATCATTTTTATCATGGTCAACATTGTAAGTAATATAGCTTGTATAAAATTTTAAATTTCTATCAAAAAAATAATTCCAATGCTTTGAAATCATGTACATGTACTATGGACATTTTTATATATTAAAAGAATAACAAAACATAACATATGAGATGCATCAGCAGAATGAACTTAACCAATAGAGGGATTATTTTACATTATACATTATTGTCATTATAACAGTATTAAATATTGACTAATTTGTATGTAGTATAGAACAAACACATGGAAAGTGATTGCAACAAACAAGAACCCCACATAGCTAGCATCTTGGTAGTATAGGAGTCACAGTAAAGTTAATGTTTCTTGCAATAATGATGTGGTTAGTTGACTGAATACCTTCTTGGCTCGTTCTTCACGCTCAGTCTCTTTCTTTTTCGATTCCTTATCAGAACCCTAGGAAGACAATTGTTTAATTGCAAAAGCAGCAGATACCATGAGATAATAAAACAAATACTTATCAACTAAAAAAGAATTCAAAGGTAGCTTACCAATTTAATGAAAATTTCATCCGACCCTTTCTTCAGTGAAAGTTGCTTCATTGACTCCAGCTCCTTATCAATAACAACCTTTCTCTCTTCAGCCTTCAGTGCAAGTAGGGCTTTTCTTTTCTCCTCCCTAATTTTCTCATATTCCTCAAGAGTCATCTCCTGCCAAATTCAAAATAAAAAAATACAAGAGTCCTAAATGGCCAACTCATATAGGAAAAAATAACATGCGATTAAAAACCGCATGTAAAATGTAGGATCTGATCAAAATATGTATGTGAAACTTGGGATACGATAAAAAAGTACGTGGAAAGAAGGATATGATAAGAAAACTAAATATGTAAATGAATCTGGTGTCACTAATATAAATGAATCTGGTGTCAATACAAGATAGAAAGTAAGATATAAATAGAAACAAGAAATAAGCATCTCTTACTAAAAGACTTAGGGGAGACATAAGAGAACAAAAGTTCAATAATTGATTTGAGACAGGTCAGAATATACCTGAGATAGCAAGCTATCTGTGGGTATCGCATGACACCACCCCAATTTTATGGCTCTAGACCCCTTTTAAGTAGACAGAAATATACAAAAAGGAAGGTACTTGGATGTGATCCCTGAACTGATTGTAACGCTTTTAAACCTATCATACGATCCTTGACTCAGCTCTATATTCAAAGTGATGGTATGAGTAGGGGACAACTCTCTGTTTTAGAGATAGGAGTAGAACCTTGAGCACTCGAAGTATATGAAATTATGGTAAATATTTCATTGAGATTAAACAATAACGTCCAGTCTATGTCAGACATCCCATTGAGAACAGTTTCATAATCAACTAAAACAAAATATATTCACATATTTACGGCAAATTTCTGTATTCAGACATGATACAAAAAGCATGTCAATACCTTGATTTTGCCACAAAATTATGTGGGCCGGGTGAAATGGATTGCTTGCATGTATTGTTGGTTTCAACTATGCAAGAATCTTTGGATCGGCCAGACATCGGTGCTATCACAATACAAATCGAATTAAGATCACATGAAACTAATTGCTCGAATTTGCTGAAGATTTACGAGAAGACTTTCCAAAAAATAATGTGCAATCAAATAGATAACTAAAGTAAAAAACACAAGATAACACACACACACCAAAGGGAGAGAAAGGGATAGGGAAGATCCTGAGGCTAGGTAAAATACTGAAGTGTTCACACATATTTACAATTTAGTTCATCACAATATGAAGAAAAAGAAGCGATAATTTTTAAACAGTATTTCCTAGGCCCATCTTGCAATCAGCAGGTGAAGCTGCTTAAAATGCAAATGCAAAGATAGGACCATAGGATGGGTTTACTCTATGCCGGCAACGGAACCAGGTGGCAACCAGTAAGCAAAGCCAATTGGTTCTTTTAAAAGGCAAAAAAAAAGAATATTGCTAATTAATAGTGGAAAGAATGACTTTCTGAATAATAAAATTTATGCATGATTCTTGTTAAATTGAAACTTATCATAGATAAAAGCAAAAGGCAAGGTCAAGGAATATGCCATCCAATGTTGCCTGAGGTAAGTGATGCCAAAAAAAGGCGATCACCTGAGTGAACCAAGGCCATAAATATACAAATAATTTGAAACATTCCAAATAATATGCAAATAAACAGATTATCAATAAACCATAACATTATCAACCGAAACTTCCAAGTCACAAATTATGATATGTAACAAGTCATAAACCACTTAAAAAAAGCAGTAACAAACACAGGATAGAAAATTAATAGTACTAATCTGTAAAGCAGTAACCTATGAAGCACGGACACGCATAACATGAAGCCGTGTCGTGTCCGTGTCGGACACACGTGTCGAACACACGTATCCTATGTATTTTTTAGGATTTGTCTCGTGTCGGCGTGTCGGATGGCCTTTTTAGGATTTGTCTCGTGTCGGCGTGTCGGATGGCCGTGTCGGATCCGTGTCCGTGCTACATAGGCAGTAACTACTAACAAAGATTATTATGTGGCAAAGTTTGAACTTTAAAGGCTCTAATTATGACATGTCCTTAAAATAATATAGGTAATCAAGTACATTAGAATGAAAAAACAAATAAATCAACATGCGCTCGCCTTAGCAACCTTCATCGCGCTCTAGATACAAAGGTGTGTGCTTTTAAAACATCTGGATAATTCCCAGGTCAAGCCGAAAAGCACCACCCAACCTCTCTTTTAAAACACTGGATAATTCCCACGTCAAGACAAAAAGCACCACCCAACCTCTCCCTCCACTTTCTATATCTCATTAGGTTAGAACATTAAATTACACGCAAACGGGGCATCTTAGATGAAATTAAAAGAAGCAAGAACTATGGTTAGTAAACATCACCACATCATCACAAAAAACATAATCTTCTTACGTGTGTACACCTCCCCCACCCCCACAAAAGAAGAAACCTAACGCACACACACACACGTACGCAGATAGTAGTTAGCAAGCATCACCACATCATCACAAATAACATAATCTTCCCCCCCCCCCAAAAAAAAGAGAGAGAGAGAGAGAGAGAGAGAGATCATTAAAAGTTTACACAAAATAGAACACTAAAATGTTCATCGATACTGAGACTTCATCCCCGCCATAAAACAACCAGGAAGGGAGAATTTTAGAAAGCATTTTGTAGACATACCTTGGAAACAGCAAATGAAGTTACTTTAAGGCAAATCTAAAAGATTGTGTTGAAAAATGATTTCATTCCATACCGGCAATTGGACCAAATAGCACAAGTTAGCAAAGCGGTTTTATTCTCTCAAAGACAAGATCAGAAACCTTGGCTAGGAATATTTGCTTAGTTAATAGAGGAACAGCAGCAGAAAAACAAATACTTCTAGAATTTTCTTCTAGAAAAGCATCCAAAATAAGTATGTCTGTGCATGTATGACCCAAAAAAATAACTTGGATTGTAAATAGTTAAATAAGGACTGTTTGAAGCCTAAATAATATTCTTAATCCAATTAGATACCCAAATGCTATAAATATATAAAATAAACATGGCGGTAGTGGTGAATGCTACTGCTGGTATAAAGCTTATAAATACAAACACTACTGTCGCATTTTGAACAGATAATAGTGTTTCCTGATTTAAAAAAACAGAGGAATTTATTCATAGATAATGGTTGCAGGCATGGCAATCCCCCTAAACTCAGTCACGGATATACAATTATCTTTCAATATGTTATGCATAGATGTATGGTTTAGTCATAAATGTACTAAACATTATTCACATTAAAAAATAACCCAAAGTATGATTCATTTTCCTTTTTCAAAATAAGATGTAACCTACTTCTATCATACATAGAGTTGCGTCCATAAAGTTCACATTTGAGTTGAGTGCCCAATACAAATGACTATGATGACACATGTTTCTTTCAACCATGTCCAGAACACTAATTTCTGGTCGGTAAGTATTATGCATCTTACAGCTACTCTTCAAAGATAAAAGAGGCTAAACCTGTAAAGGCAGCACCTGAAACACACCAAACACTGACTCCACTACTACATGCACATATTTAGAGCCCGACTATAAAACTGATTCACATCCAAGGAAAAGAGGGAGAGTCAGAGCCAGATGCTCTATCACCTAGACAGCTACTATGATTTCTGATGTCTGCACATCATTATTGTCTTATTTGCAAAAGTTTTATCATCATCTTTATCTCCCCAATTCTCTTCCAATTCTCTTCTTAGTGCATCAAGAAAATGAGGAACAATGTGCACAAATAGCTTATATTATTAGAGATTTTGACTAGGATCTGTATTAAAAGGATTTAAGCTTGGATCACCGCTAGGGAAATATTTTCTCAAAGAAATTAGACCCATTGAACAACCACTTTAAATGCAACTATAACGTATCAAAAGGGACAGTTCCCAATGGCAAGTAGATTAGATTTTGTAGTAGTTAATGCATAGCACAAAAAACATTCAAGTTGATAGTTTTATTGTTGTTGATCCCTCCCTCTCCATATCTATTTACTTAAGTACCTGTCTATTTGACAGAAACATGCATAACAAGATCTTCAAGTGAGAACTAGTTCTTGAAATAAGCATCAAATTGAACAAACAATATAAAAAAGGCCAATTTCTCAAATTGGTCAAATTTGAAGATAAGCACAAAAAGAGAACTTCAAATCATATTCAGATCAAAAACATAAATAATCTTTAATTATTTGACAAGAATAGCACAAGATGAAGCAGTTCAAACCCTTAATGACAACTGACTCTATTCAGAAGGAATCCTACTGAAAAAATCATTCTGAAAGACATGCAACAATAAAGAGCAAAGATAATGAATATTATGGAATATGGAATAAGAGCTAAATTTATCTTTATCAAAACAATTCTTAGAGCAGGCACCAAACAAAAAGAAGACTACAGAGCAAGAACTAACCTTATCTTCAGGTTTAGCTTCTTCTTCAGTAGCAACATTCTCATTGTTGTCCTTGTCACCCTCAACAGGTTTGACATCTTCCTGCTCCTGCACCTCAGGAGCTGCAGCCTTCTCATCAGCATTCACAGTCTCCTCAGTTTCCCTGTTCAGTTAAGACATTTAAGCAACTATATGTGCAATTGAAGTCTTAGAAATAACATGCTGATTTAAAACATGCGATCTTAACTGTGCAACAACATCATCAGTTACTGATCCCCAGTTCCCTTTGCCAGCACCCTCCCTCTTCATCTCATACCCTCGTCCTGTTCCACTCCTGCGCTCATAAGCCCTCCTTGGAGGGCGCTCAGAGTCACCTCCTGACTCTCCATCAGCATTCCCATACCCTCCTCGGCGACCACCACGGAATGACTGACGTGGAGGACCATATCCTCCTCCACGAGGTCTCTCCGATGGTTTGCCTCCTTCTCCTTCCTCAACATTACCACCGCCATAACCCCCACCATAACCTCCTGAAAATCCATTCTCATTTCCATTCCCAAGGGCTCTGTTTGAGCCTACCCCAGCTCCTCTCCCTCCTCTCCCTCGTCCCGGGCCACCTCTTCCAGCACCACCACCACGTGGTGGAGCACTGGTGGTATTCCTAGCCTCCTTCACTGCATCAACAAATAAACAAATAAACCAACGGTTAAATTACAAATAAAACATCGCCTATTTTACTTTCAGTATGCCAAAGAATGTGAAAAATCCAATCTAAAAGATACATCTTCTGTTCGACTAACTAGAACTAAATGATTAAGAAAATATACCAAGTTAGCATGGTATCTCTTCAGGCAAAAAAAGAAAACAAAATGTGCATATGAAGAGCATACCAAATAGTTTCCTTTCCAATGGAATAGTTAAGAATTATAAACAATCTGGGATGCACTAGACAACAAACAAACTGAAATTTCACGAATTATTAGAAACAAAGATTAAACCAATCGAATAGCACTTATAACTACAATTATAAAACACATACATGACATCAAACTACAACCTTAAGGAAAAAAGAAATCAATCCACTGACTGATTTAGTTGCACCTGTTAACCAAGATTAGTCTACGAAACGTGAAATTCGCAACTTTCCCTGGCTGAACTATCTACATTTTATAATCACAAGAAGCTAAAACCTTTCCCTTGCTAGATACCAGACAAACAACAACTCAACATCAACAATCTGCATTTTATAATCACAACGAGGCGAATCATTACAGAGAAAATGTTATAACATGCAATTGAACCAACTACAGATATTTAATACTGTAGTAAACGAGAAAGTTCTCCATTTTCAATAGAAATCTACAGCAAAGACGAAGCGTAAAGAAAAACGCGTGAAGATCGAATGGAACCGTTACCAGCTTGAGAGGGAGGGAGAGGCTTCGTCGAGCAGAGGCAATCAACTGCGAAGGATCATCGTTATCGTCATCCCCGAGGAGATCGAATGGATTCACAGTCGTCATCTCAAACGAGAGAGAGGGAGATCGGAGCTGGGATCGGATCGAGATGCTGACACAAAACCCTAGCAATTGAAAGAATCTGTCGATGAAGCAATCGCCATAGATAAACCCTAACCCAAGATTCTAAAGAGAAGAGGTTGGAAAATTTAGGGTTTTGGAGCGAGCGAGAGAGAAGAGATAATATGAAACCCTAGCCGCCTAAGGAGCCCAATATAATGGAATGACCTAATCGCTATGTTTATTGTTGTCTTAAGGAGAAATGACGTTTTTATTTCCAAATGAGATGTTATTTACGGGGGAGGGAGAATGAAATGGGGGATGATGCGAGGGCATTTTGGTCAGAGGGAGTTTGGCTGTGGGAGCTAGGTGAATTTTACCGTGGAGAAAGAATCGTGCGGTCGAGATTCGCTGGTAGTTGGCTGATGACGTGTCGTTTTGCGTGGAAAATTTGTGTCCAGCGTGTAAGATGGTATTTTACCGTCGTTTTGGGAACTTAATTTATATTGAGCCCCGTGAGCGGATAATTTAATGTAAAAACATATTTGGTATGACAGAAAATTTATAGGCTTCCTTTAAGATTATGGATCCTGATTAAAAAGAAGAATGCATAGTGTTAATTTTATTAGAAACTAGGTTTTATACACATGCAATACATGACATGGTTAAATATCATGATTAAGTATTTTTTGGCTAATTTTCTAACTAAATTTTGTTCCTCGGTTCCACTTAATAGTTTATCCTCACTTTTTGTCTTTAAGCTTTAATATTGCGATTTTTTTATGTCTGTTTAAATGGGCTACACTCAATTTAAAATTTTATGTTGATATTTGAATTCATAAAAAACAAATATAATTTGAAGCTAATTTAAATTTTTATATTTTTTAACTGACATGAAACCAAGCTTTACTTGAGAAAGTACAGTGTTGTGAAAGTAAAAAATATTGAAATGGTGTTATACAAGGAATGTGAATACATAAAACCAATAAGACAAAATAATTGGTTTAAAGTATGCTAAATGGATATAAAGGAGAATATAAAGTTTGTTCCTAATCATTGATAAACTTCATAAAAAATTCTAAATTAAAGATTAATACTAACTTTAGTATACTTTCATATGTTAAAAGCATCTGCACAAGCATATAAAAATACTGTAAGAAAGCTCATGAAACTCCCTTCTAAAGATTCCTAAATTCACTCAAAATAATTAAACTATTCTATTAAATATTCAGAAAATATTGTCTTTTATTCCTTCTATTTTATTTTTTTTATTGAGCTAAGATCAATACTTTCTCACCTTTCTCTTTTTCCCGAGTAATTCTAGAGTAGTGTCTTCATCATCTACTCGATTGTGACATCAGGCTAGAGTTGTATTTTTTTGTGGTGTTATCTTTCCTAAGCTCGTTAATCATTTATCTTGTCGTTTAGCTTCACAAATAAGTTATATGTATTTTCTATATTCAACACAAACTTCTTGAAATATAGACTTTTTTTCAATGAGAATAAATATTAATTTAATATATATCAAATTCTTTGTGTTCCTAATTTATTACTTAAATAATATTATGAGCTACCTCCTTTTTTCTCTACAATGAATTCTTATGATGTGCATCCAATAAGAGTTTTTGTTATGTCAATAATACTACATTTGCTCTATTTCTGTTATTTTCCACAAAGATCTAAACTAAATACTTATATTTTTATTGCCAATTTGCTCTATATTATAATATTAATATTTAATTTTTTTAGTATTTGAAGAACAAATTATGAAATTTATGAATGCTTACTAATTTTTCTTATATCTTTCATGGAGAACTCTTCTTTAATTGGGATAAAGTTATTAAATTATTCTTTAATGTACCTCAATTGATGCTTCTTTAATAAACATGTCTTATGTTAATGCCAATTCAAATGATTCATGTACGTTTTTTAATTTTAGATTTATTTCCATCACTTTCTCATTTGCAATAGAAATAGCTTGATTCTTTTAAAGAATATCTCTAAATATTCTGATAGTTTCTCCATACGTAATTTATTGTATTTTTTACCTTATAAATATTATTAACATCAGAGATTAATGTTTCTAAATTATAATCAATTAATGCTAAACTATTATATTATAGTATTTCATCATTTTTATGGATTTAAACATCTATCAATTAATGTTACTAATGTGTTTTGCTGCTCCAACTTATTACTAAACTTTTATGCAATTGCTTTAATTTGTATGGTGTCAATAATTTTTAAGCTATAATATTTTTTTTTAATTTTATTCCTTAACCGGATATTTTTAATCAATTCTTATTACTTTTATTTACCATTATTAACTTAGACTATCTTTAGATGCTGAAAAAGGATAGTAAATCTTAAATTGGAAA